GGAGACTAAGCAAGAATAGTTTAATTAAGAAACTATTAAAATGATAACAATAATAATAAAGGTTTTATCAAATGGTCTATTAGAACATTAGTTTTACTCTAGCATGCAGTTTTCAAAAACATGAATAATATAATCAAGTGCAAAGCGAAAGATATAAAATTCTTCATACTTTCTCTAAAAATTAAAAAAATATCTAAATTAAATGATGACATTATAGTAAACTAAAATGTTCTTTATAATTGCAATAGCCAGAGTTAAATAAATAACTCTGATAATTATTTGATAAATAATTATCAAAAAAGTTTAATCTTGTAATTTTTCCTTCAAATGCAGTAACCAATTTTAATATTCAACCTTATGACTTACATAGTTTGCATTTGCACATACAAATATAATATTCAATTGAAGACTTTTAAGAAATAAGAATATATGTTTTAAAGAACACATCATTAGGAGACCATTAGTGGCATGGGAAGTAAAAAGAATGTAAACAAAGTATTTTGTTGTTAATTCACAGATTTTAATTCTAACTTCCTAGTGCATAAAGGATCTTAGATATTGTATTAGTGAATTAATTTTGACATAGTACATTTTATAAGTCCACTGACCTCAATTATGGAATAATGAATGACTGCAAACACTCTTAATCCAAGGACCTGGTATTATGCCTTAATCTCAGAACAAATTCCAATGCTTAGTTAATAACTTTAAATCAGGGTCATCTTAATTATAAACTCTCACATCATTCATCTTTATTTCTGTGTTTCATAAAAAAAGGAACTGCTTTTTTTCTTTAAAATGTTCTTTTCAGAATATCAAAAACAAATAAAAATATATTTTAATTTTTTTATGAGGCAAAGGACACTCCTTTCTCCACCAACATCCACCAGAAAAAAAGTAGGATACTTTTATTTGGTTACTTTAGTAACCATCAAATAATTTATGTCCAAATGGTATATTTTAATCCCTTAAAGTTAATGCAAGGTTAAGAGAATTATATTATCTGCTTAATAGTGTATTTTTAATACCTGGCAAAATGTAGTTACTTTACAAATATTTGTTTAACGAAGGCTTGCATAAATCATAATTAAAAATAAATATTAAACTGTCAACAAGATTTAATTTAAGTTGTCAGGCCATAGTTACTTAATTATCAAAGGCCTTCTTTAATTATTGACAGTACAAGCATGCAGGAGGTAAAATTAGTCCAAGGACAAATTCCAAAGCAGAAGTTTATTTTTCTCTTTTAGTTTGGTTTCCCTGTGCTTCCACCGATCTTCCTTTTCCACAGATTGTTGTTTCCTCTCCTTTCCATCTATCCGGCACAGGTACACAGTGTAATCAGTACATTTACTGAGCCAGGTTACTCCTGAGTGCCCCGGCTTGTCTGCTGACACTAGGTCTTGTTGATGCAAACATCCTTCCTTTGATCTCAGCGTGTATAAAGATTAGCTGATATCTATAGGTCACAGAATAGGTGCCACCCAGGCTTACCATACCTGGAAAGATGAATGAGTTTGGATAAAATAGAGTAAAATAGAGTTTAGAGAAACAGAGCTTGAAGAGTGTGAATGAACTTCATTCAGCCCAGCAGGCGTGGCTCAGCAGTTGAGCATCAACCTAGGATCCAGGAGATCACAGTTTGATTCCCGTTCAGGGCACATGCCCATGTTGCGGGCTCAATCCCCAATGACTCTCTCATCATTGATGTTTCTGTCTGTCTGTCTCTCTCCTTTCCTCTCTCTGAAATCAATAAAGCTATATTAAAAAAAAACATTAAGTGAAAGACTAACATTATATCATGTACTCTTCTCTATTCCTTCAGAAAATTTAAAAAGTGAAATAAGCCAGTCAGAGAAAGACAAGTACCGTATGATTTCACTCATATGTGGAATTTAATGAACACACTGAACAAAATAAAGACAAACCCATAGAAATCAGGCAGACAGCTCTAGTGTGTGGTGGGGGGAGGAATGAGTGTGTGTGGGAAGGGATTGAGCAAAACAATAAATAAATAAAACATGTATTAAGTAGCCCTGGCTGGTGTGCCTCAGTGGTTAGAGCATTGGCTCACACACCAAAGGGTCACGACTTTGATTCCCAGTCAAGGGCATGTACCTGTTGGGGGTTCACACCCTGTCTGTGGTCGGGGTGCCTATGGTAGGCAACCAGTCCATGTGTTTTTCTCACATCAATGTTTCTCTCTCTCTCTCTCTCCCCCCCCTCCTCTACCTCCCTCCCTTCTACTCTTTCTGATAAGCAATGGAAAAAATGTCTTCCTGTGAATATTATCAAAAAAATAAAAATTTAAAAATGCATTAAGTAAAATAAAAATAAAAATTTAAAAAAGAACACTAAGAAAAGAAAGATCTCTACTTTCTTTGACATTAAAATTTATGTTAATCAGTAATAGGACCTGTAAATTCCTCTTAAATATTCTTTAAATGCTCTGGAAAAAGTGAAAAAAGAGGGATCAAGGTTTATGATTTTTAAATAATAATCTATTGATATGTTTATCCATCTTGTGGATACAGCTTTTTTAAGAAAAGTTTGCTAAAGATTACCTTAGGTTTATGACAGGCATGACCTTGCTTTAGGTAAGTATCTTTTTTACTCCCCTTCAAAGTAATGTTAACACCATTCTGCTCAATACTATTTTCTTTTTTTTTTTGGTTTATTTAAATATTGTTGAAAATATTACAGATGTCCCCTTTTTACCCCCATTAATCCCCTCCACCCGGCATTCACCCAACCCCTAGGCCTTCCCCAGACCAATGTCTGTGTCCATGGATTTTGCTCATAAGCATATAAGTTCTCTGATTAATCTTTCCCCACACACTCCCCCCTCTCCACCTTCCGTCTGAGGTCCCTCAGCCTGTTCAATGCTTCTACTTCTCTGGATACATTTTGTTCATAAGTTTATTTTGTTTATTACATTCCACATATAAGTGCAATCAGATGGTACTTGTCTTTCTCTGACTGGCTTATTTCACTTAGCATAATACTTTCTAGTTCCCTCCATGCTGTGCCAAAGGCTAAAAGGTCCTTCCTCCTTACAGCTGCATAGTATTCCATGGTGTAAATGTCCCACAGCTTTTTGATCCACTCAACTGCTGATGGGCACTTGGGCTGTTTCCAAGTCTTAGCTATTGTAAATTGTGCTGCTATGAACATAGGGGTGCATAAATTCTTTGTGATTGGTGTTTCGGGTTTCTTAGGATATATTCCTAGAAGTGGGATCACTGGGTCAAATGGCAGGTCAATTTTTAATCTTTTGAGGAACCTCCATACTGCTTTCCACAGTGGCTGCACCAGTCTGCATTCCCACCAGCAGTGCACTAGGGCTCCCCTTTCCCCACACCCTCGCCAGCACTTGTCCTCTGTTGACTTGTTGATGCAGCCATTCTGACAGGTGTGAAGTGATACCTCATTGTGGCTTTAATTTGCATCTCTCTGATGATTAGGGACATTGAGCATTTTTTCATGTGTCTCTTGGCCATCTGTATGTCCTCTTTGGAGAAGTGTCTATTTAGGTCCATTGCCCATTTTTAATTGGATTATTTATCTTCCTTTTGTTAAGTTGTAAGAGTTCCTTATATATTTTGGATATTAACCCTTTATCTGCTATGTTGTTGGCAAATATGTTCTCCCATACAGTGGGCTCCCTTTTTGTTTTGTTGATGCTTTCGTTTGCTGTGCAGAAGCTTTTTATTTTGATGCAGTCCCATTTGTTTATTTTCTCCTTAGTTTTTCTTGCCTTAGGAGACGTATCAGCAAAAATATTGCTACAAGAGATGTATGAGATTTTGCTGCCTACGTTTTCCTCTAGGATTTTTATGGTTTCATGCCTTACATTTAAGTCTTTTAGCCATTTTGAATTTAGTTTTGTGCATGGTGTAAGTTAGTGGTCTAGTTTATTTTTTTGCATGTACCTGTCCAGTTTTCCCAATATCATTTGTTGAAGAGACTGTCTTTACTCCATTATATGTTCTTCCCTCCTCTGTCAAATATTAATGGACCATAATGAAGGGGGTCAATTTCTGGGTTCTCTGTTCTATTCCACTGATCTATATGTCTGTTCTTGTGCCAGTACCAGGCTGTTTTGATTACAGTGGCTTTGTAGTATAACTTGATATCTGGTATTGTGATGCCTCCAACTTTGTTCTTTTTTCTCAAGATTGCTGTCGCTATTCGGGGTGTTTTTTGGTTCCATATAAATTTTTGAAGTGTTTTTTCTAGAACTGTGAAATATACTGTTGGTATTTTTATTGGGATTGCATTGAATTTATAGATTGCTTTGGGTAGTATGGACATTTTAATGATGTTCATTCTTCCAATCCATGAATATAGATGCTAAAATCCTCAACAAAATATTAGAAAATCAGATCCAGCAATTTATTAAAAAGATCATACACCATGACCAAGTGGGATTTATTCCAGGGATGCAAGGCTGGTACAAGATTCACAAATCAATAAACGTGATACATGACATAAACAAATTAAAAGACAAAAATCACATGATCATATCAATAGGTGCAGAAAAAGCATTCAATAAAATCCAACACCCATTTTTGATAAAAACTCTCAACAAAGTGGGAATAGAGGGATCATACCTCAACATAATAAAGCCCATATATGACAAACCTACAGCCAACATTATACTCAGTGGGCAAAAACTAAAATCATTTCCCCTAAGAACAGGAACAAGACAGAGGTACCCACATTCACCACTCTTATTCAACACAGTACTGGAAGTTCTAGCCACAGTGATCAGACAAGAAGAAAACATAAAAGGCATCCAAATTGGAAAGCAGGAAACAACTGTCATTATTTGCAGATGACATGGTATTGTACATCGAGAATCCTAAAGACTCCACCAAAAAACTACTAGATTTAATAAATGAATTCAGCAAGTTAGCAGGATACAAAATTAACTCCCAGAAATCGATGGCATTTTTATACACCAACAATGAACTCTCAGAAAGATAAACTAAAAAAACAATCCCATTTACCACTGTGACTAAAAAAATAAGATACCTAGGAATAAACTTAACCAAAGTTGTAAAATACCTCTACTCAGAGAACTATAGGATACTGAAAAAAGAAATAGAGAAAGATATAAACAAATGTAAAACTATGCCATGTTCAATGCTATTTTCTCAATTGACTATGGCTTTTCATAGCACTAACATCTTTGTGATTAGACACAATGCAGAGGACAAATAATTTACTTTCTCAGAGTTGAAGTGTCTTTGTGTCAGTGGTCCCCTAGATCAATCTCAGGTTTGGAATTTTTCCAGAAGACACAGGACTCAGCATGTAGTCATATTCATGGCTACAATTAATTGCAGCAAAACTATGCAAAACAAAAGTTGCAAAGGGAAAAGATTCATGGGACAAACTTCAGAGGAAATCAGACGCAAGCTTCCAAGAGTTCTATCCCAGTAGAGTCATATAGGAGGTGCTTATTTGTTTTAACCTGAGTTGTGACAACATATGCGAAATATTGCCTAGCAAAGAGGCTCACTAGAGACTGAACACCCAGGGTTTTTATTGGGGCTGGTCATGTAGTCACTCTGTACTTTGTACATACCGAAATTACTGACTTTCAAAAGGTATACTTGTTCAGTATAAACCATATTGTTTGCACAAACAGTCTGGGTACCATGACCACTCATGAATTCTGAGTGAATAGTGAATAGCCCCTCGCAAACTCCAAGTTTTCAGACGACAGCTAACAAATAATTTTATAAACACTTTTTTCCAAGAATGTCAGCCTCAGATCTGCTTTGTTAAGTCTTTTCTGCCCAATCATCATTTGAGAAATGGAAATAAATGCTTATTTTGAAATGTAATGTATTTTAAATAACAGTAGACACCATGATGCAGGATTGTGTCTCACACCTTGTGTATGTTATTTTTAGATATTATGTGCTTTTATTATTGATATACAGCACTTTTGTGTATTTGACTATAAGAATTAGAAAAGTGTTAACGTTTTTTACTCTGTCAATATTTATAGATCTTGTCCTGGCATTTTGTGAGATAGGTATAATGTGTATTCTCTGGCATTCAAAAGGTCAGGCTAACAAGACCCAGGCTGCTATGTGAAAATTGTAGATTGCTGCGCTAATGCATCAGTCAGGATGAACTCTGCTGACATCCTATATCTTTTACCTATTTATATATTTAATGATGGTTTGTCCTCACTGAAATATAAAATATTCAAGAGCAGGAATCTTTGTCTTCTTCCCCCACTGATATATCCTCAGTATCTGGAATAGGAAAATAATATATGATTGATAAATATTTATCCAATGAATTAATTTGTCTGTAGCAAATTGTTACTTTAGTCCCTTGTGAACGATACATCTTGAAATTCATGTCTTTTTGTAGATTCTTATATAAATTCTGGTTTTGGCCTGTGATTTGCTTTAACCAATAGACCATTACAAAAGTGATACTGTTCAAGTGTCAGACCCAAGTCTTAAGAAGCAACTCTGCTTTTGTACACTTGGAAGGCATGAGCCACGATACAATTAGTCTGGCTACCCTGTGGTGAGGACATGTGGACAGACAATGTAGAGAAGACAAATGGAGAGGGAGAAAAGCTCATCCATCCCAAAGTCTTAGCGGAGCACAGCCCACACACCCCTGAACACAGCCACACAAGTGAACATCACGAGACCAGGAGAATGGCTGCTCAGCTGAACCCCGTCTATATTGACAACCATGAGAAAATTTTGTAAGCCACTGAGTGTTAGTGCGGTTTGTTTCACAGCAACAGGTAATTAAAACAATACTTCTGAGCAAATGGAAGTACTACACCTCTATTTTATTTTTTATTTTAAATCTATTTAAAAATTCTTAACATTTCCTACATGTTAATGACTAATGTTCTTTTACATTTAACTAAAGTTAGAAGGACACTGCCTTACAGTAATTTCATTTGTTTTCGCTAAGTAAAGTCACTAGGTTTTCATCACGTTTAGGTACAATACAAAAAGCTTTAAAAATAAAATCTCACTGAATTCTCATGTAACAATTGTAAATAATAAATCCTAATTTAACCAACATTTTATACAAGAGAAGATAGAAACAAGGATATTTGCAAATTCTGTGATGAATTAAGTGGAATTTGACTCTGACTCTTGATTTAATTGCAATACTTTAACTGATGTTTTAGTCGTGAAATTATTCTGATGTCGTGTACATCAGTCAAGACAGTGAGGCTATGCTGTGGTTACAATCATAACAAATGGGTAAAGACTACTTATCTGTCCCAAGCACTTTTGGTCTTCCAAATGTTATCTTCTCATTTTATATTCCTGTGGTCTCAGAGACACTTCCTTTTAAACATTTCCTTACATGCTTACGTGGCCTGGATCTAGAGAATCAAGAATGAGAAATTAAATACTCCTACCTAGAAGTAAGAGCTATTACTTTTGCTTGAACTCATTGTCAAAAATAAGCCATTTGGCTGTGGCTTAACTTAAATAGAGCAGGCAGTTTAAGGTCTTCCCTGTGCCAGAAAGGGGAAGAGAAATTGGTATTTGGATTAGCTGCAGTAGCATTTCCCATGCCATGATTTAGGAATTACAGGTAAACACTTTACTCTGTTGGGAATATCATTCTTACTTGAGGAATAAAATTTTCTAAGTGAAATAATTTATTCAAAGTGAAAATCTCTTGAAAGCTCCACAACTTCCAAACACTGAGCCTAAAGTTGAGTAAGAAAAATTTATAAGAAAATTGTTTTTTCCTGCAGATTTCATAGTGATTTATGAAGGTATTAAGTTACCATTTAGCTGTTAAAATGGACTACTAATAATTCTTGACATTCAAAAGATAAATGTCTTTTTCTTTCTTACAATTAAAATAAATCTATGGCATTTTCAAAAATCAGATATATAAATTATAGTTATGACAGGGGAAACATTTTACAAAATATTCTTAGGAAAATGTAATTGTAATAAAGTAACGACAGTACTTTAAGAATATTTCCTTTTTACAAATAATCAAAAGTTTAATCCAAATGACTTAATGTAATTACAATCAGGAACCTATGGCAAAATGTCTTGATTTAATTAATTGATAAGAGAATCATTTAAAATTGCTCTTGAAAAAAATCTACAATTCTGAAATAATTTATCATTACTTCATATTAATAGAAAATCATTTTTATTTGTGACATTATAAAATTATGCACTTGAGTTAAATTTTTTAAAAAATATAATCAGGTGAAACTAATTTTTGCAGTGTGAGGCATGATGGTTTCATATACATATTACAGAAACTGTCTATAGTATAATAGCCAACTGACATACATGAGGAATATCGAAGCCAGTTGTCAAATTAACCTTTGCTTCTTTGGAATAAAGTAGAACATCACTATTTTGGTGAGGGTGTGGTGGGGCAGGGGGTGGTAGGGAGACAGCCTGCCTCTATATATTTTATGAACCCTGAACTTGACCTTATTGACATTGACAAACATCACCTTTTTCTATTACATTTAGGAAGCTTTACCTGTAAGATATTTTCTGCTTTACTGTGGACTGCAAGGACTCTACTTAAGGAAAAAATAGTGGCCATTTAGCTGTGCAGAGCTGCTCTCTGATAAATATGAATGCAATATTTTATAAACTCTGAATTACTCAAATGTTCCAAGACAAATTAACAGAATTGTATTCTAATAGTTTTTCATTGCTGGAACCAAATAATAAATTATAGAAAAAATGTTCTAGTACAGCTGGCGTAGCTCAGCGGCTGAGCATAGACCTAGGATCCAGGAGATCGAGGTTCGATTCTGCTCAGGGCACATGCCCGGGGTGCAGGCTCCATCCCCAGTCGGAGGCCTGCAGGAGGCGGTGGATCAAGGACTCTCTCATCATTGATGTTTCTATCTCTCTCTCCCTCTCTCCCTTCCTCTCTCTGAAATCAATAAAGGTATACTTTAAAAAAAATAATAATAAAAGGAGAAAGAAATAAGAAATGAAGGAAATAATGGTGGGTAAGATGGAAAAAAAAAGTTACTATGGAAATTGTACTTACCAGTTAGCAATATGAACTTTTATTTTCTGTGCTCTATGGGTCAGCAAAATGATCTGTTTCAATTTTAGGCAAACCTGAGAAATTAAATATATTATTCACTGTATCAATTCTAAGGTCTATTGAAATTTAAATCTAAACACGCACTTCGCCCTTACCTAAGCACTGTAAAGCAGACGTCTAGGATTAAAACTTCGCTTGTCATTCCTTGGTGTGGAGTAGGCTGAATCTGTCCTGGACATCACAAAACAGATTCTCCTCATCTAGCCAAGCTGGGATCTTTCAATCAGAGGATCAGCTCATCAACACTCTATGAGATTGGGTAGTTTGCAGATGTTAGAAAAAATGGAGAACCAACAAAAGGAATGAACTATTAATATTATGAACATTTCTGAAAGGTGTTAACGGCCCTACAGACATTCTTCAGATGTCGAAATCTCCTTCGTACTGAAAAAAAAAAAAACCTATTCAGGAAAATATGTATTTCTAGTATTTTTTAATATACACTAAGTATCTTATTTGCATGCTGCTGCCAGTGTATATAAGATAATCATCCCTGTGAAACAAATTCGCGGGAGCTCAGGGCGGCGAGTGCCGAGGGCCGAGCGCAGCGGGGTCGGGGGGCGCAGGC